TAAACGTTGCATATCTTGATTGTAGTGAGGTTGTATACATACGTGAAAGTGAAGTGAAAAACTGTTAGCCGGTCAATTGTGTCAGACTTTTTGTGACCACATGGACTATAGCCCACTAGGTGCCTCTGTCCATGGAATTCTCCAGGCAGGAATACTGAGAGTGGTTGCCATTTCCTTTTCCAGGGCATCTTCCCAATCCAGGGGTTGAACCTGGGTCTCCTGCATTGCAGGCAGATTTCTTTCCCATCTGAGCCTCCAGGGAAGCCCTACGTGAAACATATTAAATGACAGAGCTTAAATATGTGCAATTTTCTATATGTTAATTACACTTCAATAAAGCTAGGGTTTTTTTAAGCCTTGCTTTACAAAGGGAAATCAGGCAGAAACCTTCAAATCTGACAGTAGCAAACATACAAGCACTGGAAGTTACCAGAATATTCCACAAGCTCTTTCCTGTGTCTTATTCTGTGAGTGATCTTTCCTCCAGACCCAGCCCTACACCAGGAACTTTTCCATTCCCTTTAAGGCCATGTTTACCCAGTGAAAACCCGTGTAATCAGGTAACACGCAAACACAGTTTTCTCCCTTTTTGGCTTCATTAACTTTTATTCAGTCAGCTCTGTTTGTTTAGCCCCTCAAGGTTTCTAAGAATTGGCATTTCATCACTACGCTGAAAAAACAAAACTATACTGTGATTTCCCTTTAGATCACAAAAACTTTTACCCTCTACTTGAAAAAAAAAAGCTACTCTCAGAATTTCTGTGTGAAATCATGTTTATTATTTTTCAAAGAACAAATGTATCACGGACCTAGAAAAGTAAACTCTGCAAAGGCACGGGCATATACGCCTTACCCTCACCTTCTCTTGATGGTTTGAGCTATGGTTTCTAATTCCACAAGAACAAACACCAAGTGCACTGCCTTGCCTTTGGATAAAAACAAACAAATCTCCAGCTTTCTGCCATTCATGAGGTCTTTATGACACTGGTAGAGAGAGAAAAAAAGAAAAGAAACAGGCTGGGATGAGTTCTGCCTGCTTTGTCCTGACTCAGTGCTTTTTTGTACTTTCCCAACCATAAGCAGAGTGACGTATACACAGCCAGCGAAGAAACCAATAGTACACGATAATCCTGTTTCCTGTGGGAGGGAGGAAGGCTCCAGTGATGCTGTTACAGGACACCTTGTTGAATTAATAGGAAAAGATGAGCGGGAGAGTCTTGTTTTATGGTTTTCTTGGGGGGAAGGGGTTGATTGGCCATCTGACTTTTCCCAATCTCATGGCTTACATTGAGAAAAAAGTGAGTAGAAGCTAAAGGAAGAAATTACCATTTAAACTTGGTGCCCACAGAAGACGCCAAACATGCTCCTAGAATGACTCAGGTCTTGACACCTACCTGAGCAATCCAACCCACCTGTTCCTAGGATGCATTTGGCATATCCCAGTCACATGAGAATGATTTAGAGTATTACTCTGTGGAAATTGCATTTACAGTAAGACTGAATGAAGTGCCCAAGCTTCCATGACGCAAAAACCAGGCTGTCCTTTTAACCTCTACAAGGTCCTCTGTTACTTCCATCCTTGAACTATGAACCCGAAGTCTTCCCAGAAAAAGAATGATAAAATTGAACATAACCACACATTGATTTCACTGGTTCTTAAATAAGCCACTGGTTCCATATAATGTGGAGGGCAAATGCTAATTGCAATACAAGCTACCTGATAAAGCTTGGAAGCAACATCAGGCAAATGTTAAACATGATTGGTCCCTGTGTCCTTTCACCCACGGTGGGGAGTTTGGCTGTTGACCAGAGGGAAGTTCTTCTTGGGAGGTCTGACACACATGAGCATGCTGAAGTTCATTTCCTTGTGGGAAACAAAATCTCTCAGACACACTAGTTCATCTTCACACCTCTTAATTTGGATATGTGAAGTTAAATCTTAATTTGCATTTGCGATGTTAATGAAATATTCTTTACAACTGCTGAAAATAATTTTTCCATGCCGTAAGCCCTTTCTGGTTTCAGAAAGGAATCAGAATACTAAAGTCTTGTATCTACCATTCCTGTATTCTTTAACATCTCTTTACCCTCCTTTAGTAGTTAGTCTCCACTACTAGGCAAAAATTCTATTAACTTTTCCCTATTCAAAGTGTTTGTATAGCTTGTGTCTTCTGTTAGAGCACTGGACATTCTTAAGGACGGATGACTGACACTTCCTTGGCTTGTGCAACGTGCAACTTGCTCAACTATACACACACAGCACAGCAACCCACACGTTTTATTGTAGCTGTTGTCGTTTAGTCACTAAGTTGTGTCTGACTCTTGCAACTCCATGAACTATAGCCCGCTGGGCTCCTCTGTCAATGGAACTTCCCACGGAAGAGTACTGGAGTGAGTCATAGTTCCCATCTCCAGGGGATCTACCTGACCTGGGGATGGAACCTTTGTCTCCTGCATTGACAGGTGGGTTCTTCACCACTGAACCACCTGGGGAGCAGTGCTCCTCACTTTACATTTCAGCTACCTTCATGGAGGGCTTCCCAGGTGGCGCTGGAGGTAAATAACCTGCCTGCCAATGCAGGTAGATATAAAATACGTGGGTTCGATCCCTGAGTTGGGAAGATTCCCTGGAGGAGGGCATGACAACCCACTCTAGTATTTTTGCCTGGAGAATCTTATTGACATGGACAGAAAAGTCTGGCAAAAAGTAGCAAAGAGTCAGACATGACTGAAGCCATTTTGCACACAGGCTTGCAAGCACATTTACTAAACTACAGGCTACACTATGGCAGGGACTAAGGAAGGTAGTAGAGCTGGCTGTTAAGGGCAGGGCTCCGTAACCAAATTGCTGGATTCATATTGTGGTCCCAATGCTTAAAGGCAATGATCTGAAAATGCAGGAAATTGAACTTTTCTCCTAAAGCTGGCTGCAAGGGTTAGCACAGAAAGAAAAAAAAAAAGACACAAACGATTAAGCACTGTGATGCTGAAGCTGAAGCGTCAATACTTTGGCCATCTAATGCGAAGAGCTGACTCATTTGAAAAGACCCTGATGCTGGGAAATACTGAAGGCAGGAGGAGAAGGAAACAACAGAGGATGAGATGGTTGTATGGCATCAATGTACATGAGTTGGAGCAAACTCCAGGAGATGGTGAAGGACAGGGAAGCCTGCTGTGCTGCAGTCTATGGGGTCACAAAGAGTCAGACACCACTGAGGGACTGAACAACAACAATGGAAGAGAGTGCTACTGTGATTAGTCGCTCAGTTGTGTCTGACTCTCTGCAGCCCCGTGGACCGTAGCTCACCAGGCTCCTCTGTCCATGGAATTTTCCAGGCAAGAATACTGGAATGGGTAGCCATTTCCTACTCCAGGGGATCTTCCTGACCAAGGGATCAAACCCACGTCTCTTATGTCTCCTGCACTGGCAGTCAGATTCTTTACCACTAAAGTAGCTGCTTTCACTACCTTATTCAAATGTGTATTCCAGCATTTTAACCATGTCTAGAACCTAATAGATGCTGTGACTATTTAATGGGAGAATTCATGTCTTTTAATAAGCAAACAAGCTTTACCTCTAAAATAAAAGGAAAAAAATTGTTGTAGAAAGATGCTTTGTTTCTCAATTGTCAGAAAATCAGTTGTTCAGGAAATCATTTTACTATGTCCCACATATATTCCATGAGGGTTAGAAAAGATGGGAGAAGAAAAAAAGACTAGAAAGTGAAAATAAAGTATATAGGAAAGGACATGAGATGGTGGGCTAGTCACAGACAGAACATGAGCCAAATATGGGAAGTGAAAACTGAACTAAGAATTTTTTTTTTTAATGTGAGGAGAAACTGAAGATGGCAAAATGAAAATTAGAGGGAGAAAAAAGGAATTTAGCTCTATATAAGCCATCTTGGGACGTTGTCATAGTCCATAAGAACACTCAATTGTTCACTGTTTGCATCATTTGAGCCTGCAGCTGTTTTGGACTTCATTTGTGGCTTTCTCCTATTTTTCTTCCTTCTTGATCCTGCTATCTTTGTAGGAGGACTGGGAATTCAACTCTGCAAGAACCACTCCAGCAAAGGACCATCATCCTCAAGACCTCTGTTCTTTTCACACAGCCACTGGTGCCTGCAGCACACTGGGTATTTCATTTCTGCTTACCTATTTTCATGGGCTTCATTTCAAATGACCAGTTCTAAGGTCTGCCTGCTTTGCTCTGTTTGTTAGAAAAATAGGGAGGGGGAAAAAAATCTCTGCATTGTGAGAAGCCTGCACTAGAAGGGGTTACTTCCACTGGGGAATTTCCCTGTCTCAAAATGAAACTGGGTTAATTGGGAAGGGCATGGAGAAATACTGGAGCCCAATTAACAAAATCAAAAGTCTTCAAATTAACAAGATAATTGTTAAATGGCTTTGGGGCAGCACTTAGGAGCTTTAAAAAAAGAAACCACTTATTCCTGGCTTAGATCCTTCCCAGCTCACTCCTAAAAGGTGCCTAAAAGTACAAAAAGAGATGTCAAAAAGTTTAGATAGATTATGAGTGGGAAGCCCTAAATGGATGCCATGCATCCTGAAGAGCCCAAGCAGAAGCATTTCTGGCTTTTTGGACTTTATCCAATGATAACACCGGTGTCAAAACTTCCACCCAAGAGTGGGCCTTGCAACAGACTGCTCTTGGCCACCCCTCCTGGATTTCTGTCCTCTGGCTTTGATCCTTATCTGTATTCCAATTATTATCCCTGTATTAATAGGCTGTTCCCATTGGCTACAGTTCTGACAGCATTTGGTACTCCTCTGATAAGTTTTAAATCAAGATACAATCTGCATGAAAGACCAAAAAGGAGAGAGTGGGAGAGAGAAGGCTTCCCGGGGCCGATCTACTGTAGGAGGGAGGCCGGGAGCTCAGCCTCTGCGTAGGAATGGTGCTGCTCCATGAGATCAAGAAGCTCTGTGGGGGAAAAAACCCCGCAACAGCTGAGGAGAAGGCACAGTCCCTGGGAGCATCACCACCTCCGACATGAAGAAGACACTGCTCCAGAGGAGACAGAGCTGAGTCTTTGCCATGCCAGAGCCAGCCGCCAGCCGCCTCCTCCCAGTGCCCGCACAGCCTGCGCCCTCCCAGGGGGCAGGCGGAGCTGGGGGTCCGCGGTTCCTGCCCGGCCAAGATGGCGGGCGACAAGGCCCGCGGCCTGGGTGCGGAGGCCCGCGGTTCGCGCCCGGCCAAGATGGCGGGCGACGAGGCCCGCGGCCTGGGTGCGGAGGCCCATGGCCTGGGTGCACAGCGCCCGCAGCCCGCTACATGCACCTCCACCCATGGCTGCGCTGGGCCCCCAGGCGCTCCTTCGGAGAGGGCCTCCCTGGCAGCCACAGGGAATCTCCTGACACGATGTGTTGTCACTCTTGAAACAGATCTCTGGTTTTACCTTGAAAAATAAGATTTTTTTTTTTAAACTGAACTATGCCAATTTGCCAGAAAGGCAGTGAAAAAAGCGGCTGTGGGTGTGGGGGCTTTCCACCACTGGGAGCTACCCCTGGCAGGGAGCATCTTCCAAGGCCTGAATTCAAAATACCACCCTGACGTTTGAAGTCAGCCATTGGAGTACATGCTGAGTTTCTTCAACAAAGGGTCGAGGGTTGACTGGGCACGAAACCCAGCCTGTTGGTATCCTCATCCCTTTGAATTACTGGGAAAGCTTTGGAATTCAAAGGATAATTTCTGCTCTTGGGGTTGAAACCCTTTAGCCAAACACAAACTCTGTATTGTGAATTGTGCTTTTTGTTTTTTTAAACTCTGCTATATGGTCTCTGACACCCTGCAATAAGAAAACTGAGATTTCTTCTCTCAAAGGAATGTGCTTGTTGGTGATTAGACAATATCATGAACCCGCCCCACCCCCTGCCAAATAGCCTAACATTTTCACTTGGGTCTGTTTGATGTTTGTTTTATATGTGTGTGTGTGTATATATATATATCCTCTTCCCCAATGTTTTACTGCTACAAGACTGGGAATTATAAACAGTCATTGAGTATTCGTATATTTGCTTTTAAATCTAAAGAGTAGTACTCTGTCAAGTTCACACACACTATTGAAAAAGCTCAGAAGCTGAAAATCATCAAAATACCAGTGGTTAATTTGCTTTAAGGGATGTCCCTGGTGGCTTGGTGGTAAAGAACCCACCTGTCAGTGCAGGAGACATGGGTTTGATCCCTGGGAGGAAATGGCAACCCACTCCAGTGTTCTTGCCTGGGAAATCCCATGGACAGAGGTGGCTGGCAGGCTGTAGTCCATGGGGTCACAAAAGAGTCTGACAAAACTTAGTGACTCAACAACAATTTGCTTTAAAAATCACACCTCCTCAGAAGACGACAGCCTGGTATTTTCTATAGAAACCTCTCCAAGCACTTCAGTCTGTCTTATAGGGAGGGAGTTTTCTACAGATGAATCTAGAGCCAGAAGTCTCATCGTGATCCTTGACTGGATTTGAATTGGTGGCTTTTCCCCAAGGAGTATAAAAGGAACTTGACCCAAGCTTTGGTCTTCCCATCTTGTCTATATCAACGACAGCTGCAGCGAACCACCGCTCAGCTGCTCAAGTGCAGTGACTGGCACGGCTGCTGGAAAGTAATAGGAGAGGTGTCATGGAAGACGGTACGTAGCAGAGGCGATAATGAGATCAAGTGTGATCCCCAGTCCCCACCAAGATTAAATGTGCAAGTGTCTTTCTTCTCTAATTAGACATTTATATCATTCACTTTCCAACCTTAAGAAACATCCAAGGAGAGTACTGAGCGTGCCAATTTTTCTACTGAACTTTCACAGCTTTCACAAGCAAAAGACCCCTCTTGGGGTGGGAGAAGGAGGGAGAGTACAGATTCAGCTCCCCCTCCCAAGGCAAGCACAGTCAGCCAGTCCTTCCTGAGGGTCCCCTGTCACAGGCAGAGACTCAGGGAGGGAAGGGTAGTCTGTTGAATGTTTGCATCTTAAATGCAAAGAATTTATCCCATATGCTACAGGCAGCCTCAGATCACGGAAGCCTCTCTCGGTGATTTCTGAATGGAACAGCTTGTCTCTTCCTGCTGCTTTACAAGCATAAAGAAGAGGGAATAAATACTCAAGTTTGGGGCTAAGTTATAGACACATCCTTTGTGCTTCACATCCTGTGACTGTAAACATTCATGCTTCCTCCTCTCCCCCTCTCTCTGGCTTTTGGGAGATCCTGAGCATTTGTGAGGACACAGTGATCTTTAACAGTGTGTATAGTTTAGTCAAGCTATGCCTAATCCTTGCTCTGCAAAAGATACCAGATGCTGTAATGTGATGTAACAGCAGTGAAGAGTGAGTGTGATACTGTGGAAGGGGCAGAGGCCAAACAGAGCAGAGACCTTTATTCCAGGGTGGTTCCTCTACTCAATAGCTCCTTGGCCTCAAATAGAGCATTTCCCCTCTATGGGTCTTGTTTGTCTAGTATCCAAATGACATGCAGTGTGGGGAGGGTGGGCCATCTCAGCTAGCATCATGGCAAAACTAGGCTTCTATCAATTACTGGCATGATTTACTCATGCCCTCCAGCCATTTATATATACCCCCAAACACACATGTAAACACATGCACACAAATATATTTTTAAGAAATTTTGAAATTAAGAATAGTTTCAAAACGAATGCAGAGGATGTTAGAACTAACAGAACTCTCAAGGGCATCTTAGGATGATGCACAGTTGACTTGAACAAGGCAGGACTTAGGGGGTGCCAACCCTCATCCCAGTCAAAAATCCTCATTAACTTTATAGTTGGCCCCCTAAATCTGCAGTTCCTACCAACCCAGATGGTGTATTACTGAAGTATTTACTATCAAAACAAATCAGCATGTAAGTGGAACTATGCCGTTCAAACCCTGTCATTCAAGGATCAACTGTAATTCTTTCCTCCAAAATTGCTGTCTAATTTTTCGCTCAAACCTGCTCGTCCCACAGACTTCCTCCATCTCAATAAATAGCAACCCTATTCTTTTGATTGGAGTAGGAAATGGCAACCCAATAGCAACTGCACTCCAGTACTCCTGCCTGGAAAACTCCATGGACAAGAGGAGGCTGGTGGGCTACAGTCAATGGGGTTGCAAACAAGTTGAACACAAGTGAGCACACATGCATGCCTTCTTTTGATTGCTCATGCCAAAACCTTCTAACCAACTTGGACTCTTTTCTCTCCCATCCCACATTCCCTCTGTCAACAAGTCCTATCTGCTTCACCATGAAATGGACCTTGACTCAGAACATCCCCCGTTTGGTCTCCTCAGCATCTCCCTGTCTTCGCTATCCACCGAGTCTATCCTCAGCGCCATGACCAGTGTGTTTTTCAGAACGTAAGACAAATCATATGCACTTCCAGTCCTGTGCCTCTAAAGGTTTCCTTCTCACTCAGAGTTAAGCCCATACCCTCACATGTTTCGTGACCTAACAGTCTATGAGCTCTGACTTGGTCCTCCACCCCCTGACTCCTCCTGCTTCCCTCGGTTCTCCCTGCTGCAGCTACACCAACTTTTCTGCTATTCCTCCAAATCCACCAGTCACACGCCCACCTTGAGGCCTTTGCCCAGACGTTCTTTCATCACCATCCCCAGCCTTCATCGATTGCATTCTCATTCTCTGCAAGTCTCCCATCAAATGAGAGAATTCCCTGATCTCCATCCTTACCTGAGACTCCAAACCTCCTTACTCTGACTTATCTTACCCTGCAGCTCTTGCTACCACCTGACATGTATTTATTTGTTAATTTATTTATACTTTGTGATTTCTCCCCTAAACCAGCCCCCATTGAATACAAGCTCCAGGAGGTCAGGGGCTTTGTCTATTTTTTTCCCTGATAATCCTCGTGGCTAAACCACAAACCACCACCAAAAGTACATTAAGTGGGCTTCCCTTGTAGCTCAGTTGGTAAAGAATCTGCCTGCCCGCAATGCAGGAGACCCGGGTTTGATTCCTGGGTCAGGAAGATCCCCTGGAGAAGAAAATGGCAACCCACTCCAGTATTCTTGCCTGGAGAATTCCATGGAGAGGAGCCTGGCAGGCTACATTCCATGAGGTTGCAAGAGTCATGAGGTTGCTAAGACATGACTTAGCAACTAAACCACCACCAATTCTCATGGCTGGAGCAGTACCCACCATGTGGTAGGAACTCAATAAACATGAAATGAATAAAAGCATTCAACATTTCATTAACAAACATCATTTCTGAGAGTCTAGTGGCTGAAATAGATACAGTAGTGAAGGGGCCAGCATGGGCCCTGGCTGATGGAGCTGACATTTTAGTGGGAGAAAACCTACTAACTGCTCACTTGCTTAATTGATTGATCAACTGATATATCTATTTATTTACTGATGTTAAATAACCTAAGAGAATGATAAATAATCATGGAATAAAGAAGGTCTAACTTTCCTTGGAAGGAAAGTTATGACCAACCTAGACAGCATATTAAAAAGCAGAGACATTACTTTGCCAACAAAGGTCCGTCTAGTCAAGGCTATGGTTTGTCCAGTGGTCATGTATGGATGTGAGAGTTGGACTGTGAAGACAGCTGAGTGCCGAAAAATTGATGCTTTTGAACTGTGGTGTTGGAGAAGACTCTTGAGAGTCCCTTGGACTGCAAGGAGATCCAACCAGTCTATCCTAAAGGAGATCAGTCCTGGGTGTTCATTGGAAGGACTGATGCTAAAGCTGAAACTCCAATACTTTGGCCACCTCATGGGAACAACTGACTCATTGGAAAAGACCATGATCCTGGGAGGGATTGGGGGCAGGAGGAGAAGGGGATGACAGAGGATGAGATGGCTGGATGGCATCACTGACTTGATGTACATGAGTCTGAGTGAACTCCGGGAGTTGGTGATGGACAGGGAGGCCTGGTGTGCTGGAATTCATGGGGTCTCAAAGAGTCCGACACGACTGAGCGACTGAACTGAACTGAACTAAAGGGTAGGGATGAAGGACTACTTTAAATAGGGCAGTGAGGAAAGACCTCACAGGGTGAGCTGAGAAGGAGGAGGCAGCCAGGGATAGAAAAGCATTCCAGGCAGATGAGACAGCAGTGCAAAGGCCCTGAGTCAGGAAGAAAGCTTGGTGCTTTGCAAGATCAAGCAGAACATCCACGTGGCAGGAGCATGGCATGCCAGCCCCAAGAATGGGAAGAGGTGAGAACTGAGAGATAAACAGAGGTTAGACTACAGGAGGCCATAACAAACCACTCATGTTTCATTTTAAATCTAACAGCAAGCTATTGGAGGGATTTAAGCAGGAAAGTGATAGTCAACCATTTTT